CGGAGAAGAAATGACAAGACCAGGGAATTTGGTGAGGGGTTTGGGACTGGCAAAGGGAAGCTTCAATGTCAGGAACCAGGAGCTGTGTCAAAGCAATGGGAAGGGAGAATATGGGGAACCTGGGCCATACTGAGAGAGAGATTAAGAAAAGGGGAGACAATAGGTCATAACTACTAGTCTTGAAGAGTATATGCTGTCTCCCTAGTGGTGGATGTAGGCTTAGATGGAAAACCTGACCTGAAATGCATGTCTCTATTGATTTCCCAAAATGCTATCTCCTATGACAAATATTTTTGTCAAGTGATTTTAAGGCCACTATCTTTTTTGCACTTTGTTGAGGTTATGGGAATTGCTTCCAGCAATGCAGTTTGGAAACATTGTAAAATGTCAATAGAATGTATTTAATTACTTTTTATTTCAAGTTGAAATGAGTTTATATTAGTGGAGATTCTTTACTTACTATCAACTTGCGCTATTGGTCTATTGGTCTCTTATAGAAACATTCTGAATGCAATGATTACTTCAAGGACAACTGGCATTTATTTAAAGTCTGAAAGCTGCTGTTATTGTCTATTTTGAACCTAAGAATTCCTTTATTCACTGGAAAACTTGTATTAATACAACAAAATGTATTTCTGAAAACTAAAAGTATAGCTTTGAGCCAGCCAGCTAGTAGTATATCATGAGGTTAAAAAGTTATCTTTATGCCTCAGCATAACAAATGAGATAATAAACTGATCAGGAATCAATGTTTGTTTTGTCATCAGATATATCAAGTATATTTAGAAGCTGTTTGCTGGTTCTACTGGAGGATCATTTTAACAGGAAGCTTGTATTTCTGCAAGTTTATATGGTGATTTGGACAAAGAAAATTGTGCCTCTGTATGGCCCGATTACAGTATGATGGTAGACACTGAGTTGTAGACCGGAAGGCCTGTAGTTTGGCAGTTTGAGACCCTAGTGCGGCGTGATGGAGTGAGTTCCCGTCTCTGGCCCCAGCTCCTGCCAACCTAGCAGTTTGAAAGTAAGAAATTGCAAGTTGATAAATAAGTACTGCTTCGGTGGGAAGGTAACAGCATTCTGTGTTTAGTCATGCCAGCCACATGACCATGGAAACGTCTTTGGACAGCGTTGGCTCTTCAGCTTAGAAATGGAGATGAGCACCACCCCCTAGAGTCGGATTTGACTAGCTTTTGAGCAAGGGAGACCCTTACCTTTACTATTAGGGATGTGTGGTGCAAACATGTAAATCAGAAATCCAGGGGTAGGGGTTATCACCCAGGGCTAAGACTCACTTTTCTGCAAACAACTGTGGGAGGGTTACAAAAATTAAAAAGAGTTCAGCAGTGTCTCTGCATGCAGATATCACATAAAGAATACACTTGTGCTATCTTGCCAGTCATGCCCTGTTGTCTAGACAACCCAAGAAAACACCAAGTCCCCCAAAGAGGTAAGGGGTATGATAAGACTAGGGGACAGAAGAGAAGGAAAGTGACCATGGGGGATGTATGGGTGAGAAGGGGGGGGACAAAAACAGGTACCCAGGGTGAGACAGGTCATGTGGTGGGGATAGCAGAAGCACAGAATTTAAATGGTAGAGACCACTGGGCCTGTGTGGGGAGGGAAGAGGGCTGGAATGGAAAGTGAGACAGGAGTGATGGGGAAAAGCAGTAGAACAGGATGACAAGGAAAGAATGGAGGTAACAGAGAACCCAAGGATAGGGGATCTGGATCAAGCACAAAGGCATGAGTGACAAAAGCAGGAGCATATTTGGGCACAGGGGCAGGGAGGCATGTGGAATGGGGTTTTCACTCCACCACTGCTTGTCATGAGTTCCCCCGTTTGTTTACTATAGATCTGACCATGAGAGCACATTTCTAAATAAAGTTTCATCACAGAGGATCATTTTTTTCACTTTTATTGTTACACATATTATATTTTTAAAAGAATGTCACAAGGCGTTAAAAACTAAAGTTTACGGAATTTATGGAGTGCAATCTACATGTAATACCCAACTAAATACCTGTAGGTGCTAGTTGTGGTTTTTCTGCAAATTTAAATCCCCTCCTAAGGAGATGGAACAAACCCATCAGGTTATGGATCTGACAGGGAAAACAGGAAAAAGGGATATGGAATGTACCAGATTTATTCTGAATTGCAAGTGGAGACACACTCTGGATTAGCCATCCTTGGACTGCAGGAACAATTTAATTGATTAAACAGTTTTTTTTACAGATTTACAATTAATATTTTGGACATATTTCAGCTCACAAAAAAACCCCAATCATGTTCTGCATTATTTAAAATTGCCACTGTTAGCATGTAACCCATTTTTAGACAACAGGTAGAACATTAAATAAGAAATATTCCCTCTGGCCTTTGTTGCACTGCTTTTATTCCCACCTTTCAACCTGTTCAGATTGGTTAAGAATGATAAAATTTAAAGCTTGCATATTGGAAGTCTGGCCCCTTGAAAATGGGTCACTCACTAGGTCATTCTAGATTACAGGCCTTCAATATGGAAATAATTGAGACTGAATATAGGCAATAAATCATCACAACAAAAATTATGTTTACAATTCATATGGATGACAATAAGTCTTCACTTCTGTTGGAAATACCCCCTTGAGATTTAACAAGCTTTCTGTACTTTAACAGATAAGGATGCAAAGCTATCATTTTGTAACAGAAACGGGCCAAGGAGGATATGGACATTTGGTGGAGTCTGATTCAACAGTATCCATTAGCCCACAGGATGCCAAAAAGGCAGAAATATATATATTTTTGTTTGCCTACAAATTAATTTAATTTTCCAATAATTAATCAACATAACATAGCTATTACAGAAGGATAACTGAATATTAAAGTGCTTTGTACTGGAGTTCAGTTGATTTTGTATTATATAATGTGCAGAAGACAACATATGCCCCCTTTTATCTATTCTGTTTGTTATTCAAGACACATCAGGTGATCCATAAAGTCAGCAGGAGAGTTTCTTGTGATAGCAAGCCTGAACCATGGCATGTGATCAGCAGCCTCATCAGCTGATCAGTTCCGCTCTGGCTGAACTGTACCACTTCTAACTGTAGATTGGGAAAGGAAATGTTGGAATGGTCCCCCTCCTGAAAGGCTCCCTGTACACATGCACTTATATGCATATATAGCACATATGAAACTATAATGTCAGGGAGAAGATGAAAAACATAACTTCCCCCCCTAATACCCCACCATTTAAAAATGCTAATACTGCACCTGCATTCAGCTGGTACAGTCTAGCAACAGATGCAAGTCCTGCATTTTACCTCTAAAATAAATCTCAAACTGTGCTGTTCCCTAACTCTAGTTTAAATTTTTCCCATATGTGACTCATTGTTACATCACTTAAAATGCTTACTTAAAAACAGGCAACAAAATTACATTTTTCTACAATGGCCAAATTTGTTGACTGAAGATTAAGCATACCCATTTTATGTTCAAATTATGTGCCTGTTGAAAAAAGAAAGACATTTCATTAGACAAAACAACCCCTACTTAATCATGACCCTCTTACTGAAAGTTTTTATGCAGGGGACTTCTTTTTTTTTCAAATTTAGTTCTCTTAAAGAACTTCTACAACAAAGGAAGAATGTCTGGAAAAACTATGAGCTATAGCCTGAATGATACAGCATCTTTCACAGAAGATGTCCAAGGGCAGTTTCTGACTCTATTCCTTGTTTAAAAATGGAACCTTGTCAGGGTAACCACTGCTGGTCCTGTTGCTGGGCAATGGAGCAGTACACACCTGAGTATTCGTCATTGTACATCTCAATTTAGAAAGATGAATGAAAGTTATGCTACAAGTGTTGAAACAACCCTGTGTTTGTAAGCCACATTTTTGTGGCAAGGGATTCCATGAAAAGTCACATAGTCAGGGGTCGTTTCATAGAAAAAGAGCTAGGGGAACTCATTAGCATAACTCATTATCATATGCCACACCCCCTGACATCACCGAAAGTGTGTCATAAGGCCACACCCCCTGAAATCACTGGAAGTGTGTCATAAGGCCACACACCCCGCCGCCGGCCTTGCAGCTCCACTGCCAAGCCCCATCAGGGGCCCGGCGGTGGACCTGCAAGGCTGGCGGGAGTGCAAGGAAGTCCCGCAAAGGCCCTCCCTGGCCCCAGGCAGGCAGGGGTGGGGAGAGGCAGGGAGGAAGCAACTTACCCTCCCTTTTCTCCTGCCTCCTCCTGGCTGAATGAGGGCCGGAAGCAGGGGGCAGGGCTTCCCCCCTGAAATGACCTCTGCACATAGTCATTAAAATGATTGCTTATGTAATTCAAGTATTCATAGTTACTTGTCCTAATCAATGAAGGGATGAATTAATAGGCACTGATATAGAATACTGAAGTATAAAAAGCCAAGTAGGAATGATAATTTGCCATCATAATTTTTTTTTCAGTACAGGAGAACTAATACATATCTTTCAAGATTACGAGTTCTTCCACATAAAGCCAGCAGTTTGCATCTTTTATTGCTCACATACAATATTATATGCAAAAATATTGGATTATAAAAGCAAAAATAACCATAAAGATCAACATTTGGAAAACTGATTTCTGCGAAAAGAAAAATTAATGGCCAGCCTCATGACATAAACTATTTGTTTCCATACATGTACTTGCATTTCACAGTTCAATACAAATGCCTAATCAAATATATGGATTCTTTCAGGCATGATTATTGCTGGGTGTGGAGGAGGGGGGGAATTAATTTGTTCCTTGATTCCTGTGAATATTAAGAGGTAGAACCACTTTATTGCCTCTAGGGAATCTCTTTTATACATTACAAAAACCTGTCCAGGCATTCAATTTTTGTTTTAAACTCATTTTCAGCTATTTTACTAATAACTATGCTGTCTTTAAACAAGTGTCTAAACCTGTGTCAATTGTGCGGGGGAAAGTCAGCTAAAACAGCTGTAGGTGTGCTGTTGCCAGGTACTAAATTCAGTACAGCCTGGCATTTAGCAAGCCAGCACTGACATTTGTGGGCAAGTTGGCACACGCCAAGACAGTTGTGCAAATACCCCTTACAGAGCCACCCTAAGCAGTTACATACATTGATTTCAGTGGACTTAGAAGGATGCTACTTTGCTTAGGGACTGCACTGTTAGTATCCTATTTGCTGTCACTAATACCAGGCTTCCAAAGCAAAAAACCAAACAACAAACAACAAAAAACCCTTTGCTCATATTAATCAAGTGGCCAACCACCTAGTTACTGTTCATTCATGAAAACCCGTTTACCTTTTCCACTCACGGCCAAATGGGCCACCTTTCAGTTGAAGAGACTGTATTGTTTTCAGTGCAATGTCTAGTCATTAGAGATATCAAAAAGGTGTAAAGAGAGAAACTTGCCCTTATAACTCATCTGCTTTGCAGAAGGCACATACAAAGCCTCAGTGAACCTATCCCAACATTGCTTATGCATGAATTCAGAAACAGGAAGCTAATATGAGTGGTAAAGTCAAATGTTTTTAAAATGTCATTAATTAGAAAAAATGCTGAAAGGAGGTGAACTTGTGCCTTGTTTTTGTGGAAAGTATCTTTTCTATTTCATGAACTCTCCTGCCTGCATGATATTTGTGAATAGCATCCTTGTAAATTAAGAGGTAGTCTTGTTTTATGTTAAGGCTGCACAATAGGGTTCAGTTTCAGTATTTTTCCCTACTTCACCTCTTCTGAGAGTCTGGATCCTTTGGAAGTAACTGATACTGCCCTCCATCTAAAAGAAGAAGAAAAATCTCTTTCTAGTTTGACGTGTATCTTTCCTCCATATAGAGAACTAATCTCCTGTGCTTTAAAACAACAATGACTTTCTTTAAATGGGGCTAAGGAGAAAAGCAAAAGTCAATAATACATAATTCTTGGTGGAACTAGGGTGTAACATTTACATTTTTTAAAAAGTACTAAGAGCATAAAAGCTTGGCTTAATGATTGTCTTTCCAGAAACAACAGAACAGGACTTGCTATTGTTATATGCATTGGGTTCAAAACCCTGGTTAGAAAATAAAGCTTAACATTATGGTGCAGCAGTATCAGAGGACATCTTGTAGTGGAATGTGATACTGAAATTTTTAAAGTGTGGAACCTGGACTTCCAGCTTTGGTTGAGATAGCCACACTTAATTCCACTAAGCAGAACAACAAGGATTCCCTGCACTTTGATCATATCCCTCATTTCCATCGATGTCGTACTAAGGATGATTCATCATTTACTATATCATTTTCAGTATAATGATGCCGAAAACGAGGTGGAAGCAGCAGTAAGATAATTAGAAAAAGGAGGACTAGTCCACAGAAACTCATAAGCGCATATGACACTATCCACAGAATTGGTTCATGGAAAGATATGGTAGACACACAGTTGCTTGCTACATCTGCAGTTGTGAAAGGGCCTTCAATCTCAGATACCGGAAAACCACCAACTTCTGAAAGGTTACAAAACAAGAAGAAAGGAAAAAAATGTTTAAAAAGGAAATTAAAAAAAAAATTCTAACAAATTTCAACCATTATATGATTGTACATATTTAGTATTAACAGATTCATATTTGTGTCAAATTTAAGATAAAGGACCATCTTATCTTTAATAGTACCAGCCAACTACAGGGGAGGAAAGCCAAGCTTTTCCCCCACCATAGAGAACAATGGAGGGAATAGGAACAACCTGTTTGGGGACCCGTAGAATTGGACCCCCTGGTCCAATGTTCTTGAAACTTGGTGGGTATCTTGGGGAGAGCCTCCAGCAGCTACAGTTTGGAGCCTCTCCCTCAAACCACCTCCCCTCCAGCCCCCTAGAATGTACCCTATGTTTTCGCCATTGACTTCAATGGTCCATAGGATATAATGGGGATGAAATTGACATTTGGCTGGCAGAAAGACTCCCTGATCGGCTCCTACTGCCGAAATTGACTTGCGGGAGTCTTTCTGCTGGCTGAAATTGATTCTGCCCGATTTGGCGGCCAGCCCAGGATGGAGCCTGTGGGGCTGCTGACAGGTGGGGAAGTTGTGGGGCCTTGGTAGGAAGTCGGGGGGGGCAGGCCCCAGAATGCTTCAATGTAGCTACGGGCCTGTGTGTGATCGCAGCCCTACTTAAAAAAAAATCTTGACCAATCAGAGAACCTGATACAAATATTGGTATAATGGTACAGAGATAGAACATTACATAACTGCTGATTGAAAACAAAAACAAAAATGCCAAAGGAATCTGTGATGTGTTAGCAGCCACAACAGCAACAGGGAAACTACACAAGTCTGTTCACATGTGGAAAGCACCTATCATTCCTTACTGATTCCTTGCTGCAGCCTTCCTCTAAACATTTGCTGAGATTACTCAATGAAGCACATCCTTCAATTTCCATTTTCTTAATAAGAATCTGGGTAAACTATTACCAAGTTCATTCAACATATATTTATACTTTCCATTCCCAAAAGGCATCTTCTCATTCAAGAATCTTGGTCTGTATCTCCCAGACACTTTCAAAAACTTGGCAGCAGTCTGGCCTCTTATGCAGTATACCAAAAATTAGCATTACCCCCCAGAACATCTTGTAATTATCTGCACATAAGTCAATGTGTTATTACGTCTCTGCACAAGTATGTGTTAAATTTAGATCTAAGACAGAGGACCAGGTTCAAAATCCATCTTGATCCAGAGAACTATATGGAGCAGGCTGCCCAGTGATTTTTGGGGGGGTCTGTGTTCTTTTAATTGCACGCCATTGCACCTATGTAAACTGATTTTGAAAATGTTTCAAATTTCAAAAACTTATGCAATGAGAGGCTACTATTCAAGAAACACAACAACAACAACAACAATTTAAAAAGATCACTTGGATAAATGGAACTAAGTGTGTGGGTCTTTGCATTCCAGCCCAACTCAGTTATTACTAGATGGCCTTGAGCTAGTCATCATCTCTCTGTCTGGCCTACTTCACAAGTGTGTCCCAAGGACAAAAGCAGTAAATAAACATAGCAAGTGTGACAAAAGTTATCATTCATATGCAGTTGGCAAAGGCTGACTGAGAGACTAAGGGCACGGTGATACATTAAGATCTGGGTGTTTCCTTTATAAAACAGGTATCTTACCAGCACATGGACTTAATGCAAAGCCCACTTTCTTTTGAGCTCTATCAAAGATGACATAGAAACCCTCCATCACTGTAGCACCAAGGACCAGGGCATTGGTAGATGAAGAAATACCAAACCGGTAACACTTCAGATTCTGGTCAGTCTCTAGAACAGGCTGGATATAAAGCTGTTTATTTAAAAGAAAATTGATTATTAAGAGGCAGAAACTGACTATTAAAGGGGCAGCAACATACATTAAAAACATTTTCAAATGGGCAGTAACATTTAAAAAAAGCAGTTATAACAGCAGAATGCCAGCAGGGTTCTAGGGGCCAGCCAGTGTATTGCACTGAGGGTAACATGTATGACTGCCAGCTGGACAGAAGTTATGGGTGTGTGCTCAGTGCCAGGAGCTCCTGGTTCTCAGGAATGAGTTCAAACTCTCAAGTCCAAGGTGGCTGACCTGGAGAAGCAGAGGCAGTCAGTTTGGCACACAGATAAGACTCTCAGGGACTTGTGCCCCACTCCAAGAATGGCAGCCCCACCACTGTCAGGGAGCATGACGTTCAAGGGGAAATGGGGCACTGTGCTGAAGAAAGGGGAAATTTTATCTCAAAAGGGATACTGTATCTCTCAGTTGGTATCCAGGGGGATCTCTCAGAAGTTGGTATCCAATTGTATCTCTCAGAAAGGATACTGTTGGTATCCTCAGAAGGATACAGTTGGTGAACAGGTATCCTTTCACACCAAGGAACCTTCCCTGGGCAAGGAGGGAGGGAGGCTCTTGGTAGCTAGTGATTTGATCCTTAGGCATGTAGATACATGGGTGGTGAACCTGCATACTGACCGCATGGTAACTTGCCTGCCTGGTGCAAAGGTAGCAGACACAAGTTGCAGTCTAGATAGGCTGGTAGACAGTGCTGGGGAGAAGCCAGTGGTTGTGGTACATGTTGGCACCAGTGATGTGGGGAAATGTAGTTGTGTAGTTCTGGAGGAAAAATTTAGGCTTCTAGGCAGGAGACTCAAGGCCAGGACCTCCAAGGTAGCCTTCTCATAAGTGCTGATTTTCCATGTGCAAGGCCAGCTAGACAGGCACAAATTAGGAGTCTCAATGCATGGATGAGATGACGGGATAGGGAAGAAGGGTTTAAGTTTGTTAGGCACTGGAATGTTTTTTGGAACAAGCAGGACCTGTACAAAAGAGATGGCCTCCACTTGTCCCGAGAAGGAACCAAGTAAGAAGGAAGGAGCCTACAGAAAAAAGACCAATAAAATCACAAACAAATCTGTAGTCAAAGCATGCTAAATAAATGCAACAGTAATTATATGGAAAGCATATAAATGCCGAACTCATACATATATTATTGTAGAATCACAAACATAATAAAGAATAATTATCCAAAAGTGGGTGGTAACAAACTCAAACCCACAATAAGTCACAACATATCTCAAAAGCAGCAGACTTCCCTCATAAATAGAACAAGCTCACAGAGAAAAAAAAATGTTTATATAAATATCACATGTCCTTGAATTGAAGTCCAAACATCTATATACTGTGGCTTGTAGTAAATAAGATCTGTTCCAAGTAGAAGCTACGCAGTTCCAGATAATATAATCAGAGTTTCAGATCTATTCCTTTGTCAGGTAAATCAGGTAAGTCTTCATTAATATACAATGAATACACACATATAAGCGAGGTTCTGATCAAAATAGGTCCCGAGAACGAACCAGGCTGCTGGTGCTTAAAATTGAAAAGGTGGCAGAGCACTTTTTAAACTAAATCTTGGGGGAAACAGGAGATCAAATGTCTCTGGTTTGGGATGGCTCATCTCTAAGAAATGAAGGGATAGCTGTTACTGTAGTAGAGGGAAATGGATTGGAAACTGAGAGGGTGACAAACAATATTGACTGCCTGACAAGGTCTAGAGACCACAGGAGGAAGGTTGCAAGCCCACCTTGTCTGGGAAATTACAGATGTTTATATCCAAATACTAGAAATGTCTGATGTAAAGTGGGGGAGCTGGAATGCTTAATATTAGAGGAGAACATAGATCAACAGTCCAGTAGCACCTTAAAGAGAAACAAAATTTGTGGCAGGGTATGAGCTTTTGTGAGTCACTGCTCACTTCTTTAGAAATAGTCTGGCCACTGAGAGAGTGACAAACACAAAAGCTCATACCCTGCCACAAATTTTGTTATTCTAAGGTGCTAGAGGAAAACACAGACATTGTGGGCATTTTAGAAACTTTCTGGGATAAGGATAACCAGTGGGATACAGTGATTCCTGGGTATAAATTATATCAGAAGGACATGGAGGGAAAGGTCAGAGGTGGAGTGGCTCTGTATGTCAGAGAGGGTATACAGTCCAGTAAAATAAAGAATGTAAGAGAAATAGATTCACTTACACAAACGCTATGAGTGTGCTCAAAAGGAAGCTTAACTCTGGGATTTTGTTAGCACCCACCAGATCAAAGGTTGCAGGATGATTTAAAAACAACAAAAGAATTCAAGAAAGCAGCTAGACGAAATAACTGTGTCATAATAGGTGATTTTAACTACCACACATTGATTGGGTCAATATGTTTTCAAGTTAAGAGAAAGAGATTGGGTTTCTAGATACTCTCAATGACTGTGCCATGGAGCGGTCACAGAACCTACCAGAGGGTAGACAATCCTGGACTTGGATTAAATACTGGTTATTTAACAGGAAACAGTGAGTATACACAGGCAGTTTTCACAGTCAAAGATGATGGTAAGCAGTGGGGTACCACAGGGCTCGGTTCTAGGTCCCGTGCTTTTTAATTGTTCATTAATGATTTAGAGTTGGGAGTAAGCAGTGAAGTGGCTAAGTTTCCAGATGACACCAAGTTGTTCAGGGTGGTGAGAACCAGGGAGGATGGTTGAGGTGCCCCAGAGGGATTTTGTTAAGGCTGGGAAAGTAGGTATCATCATGGCTAATGAGGTTCAATGTGAACAAGTGCAAAATGCACATTGGAGCCAAAAATCCTAACTCTAAATATACGTTGATTGGGTCCTAACAGGTGGTAACTGACCAGGAGAGAGATCTTGGAGTCGTGATAGATAACTCCCTGAAAATGTCAACTCAGTGTGCAACTGCAATATAAAAGGCAAATGTCATGCTGGGAATTATTAGGAAGGGGACTGAAAACAAATCAGCTAGTATCATAACGCCCCTGTATAAATCTAAGGTGTGGCCTCATTTAGAGTACTGTATACAGTTCCGGTCACCGCACATCAAAAAAGATATTATAGGATTAGACAAAGTGAAGAAAAGGGCAACTAAAATGATTAAAGGGATGGAACACCTTCCCTATGAAGAAAGGTTAAAGAGATCAGAAAACTGTTAAGGCTGGGCAAATGAGGTTCAATGTGGGTATATGCACCACATGCATAGAAGTAGCAGTTTACACGTAAGGGATGTACATGAGAACAGATCAGCAACCAGTCTGGTGGGAACCCTGCACATTCCTAAAGGAGGCACTGTTATATGCAAACTACCCCAT